TTTTCTATCAAAAGAGATAGGCGATCAGTTCTTCCCAGAATTCGTTCTTAGTATACATTTCCTCACTTTTGCTCCTTAACTTAAATTCAGATCATGCGTGCACAGTTGACTTGTACGATGTGTGCACTCGATTTTCCAGATGTCCACTACCTCCTCCTGTCTGGGTGACTTCACGACACTTGAATTATCGCATACTGCATACTGGCCAAAGTTAGGGAAGTAGGTGAATGACGAATTGGAGAGGATTAGGAATGAGACGGCAGTATCTGAGGTACTATTCCGGCATATGCATTGAGGGTGCGAAGAATATGAGTCAGAGTGCTGGCGTCGCAACTGGGATTTGAACCCATAACTTCCGAGAATACGAGTCTGGAACTCAAGTCTCTTCGGTTACGAAGCCACAGTGCTTCCGACTTGTATTGGGACTGCCCGATTCGATTCTTGACCGTGACATTGACTATCCTGACCGAGAAATTCGTAACTTTCCTGCCACAGTCCAAGCAAATGACGGAACTGAAAAAATCAGTCAACAGGAGCATCCTTTCCCGTGTTGACAGATTCAGAATTCACTAGTCGTGGTACCACGTGGCGCTATATAGTCTGAGTTGCTTACAGATGCGATAATGAACCGCAAAAGAGCAAGTGAAATGAGCCTGCCCAGGAGAACTCCTCACACCAGTTCGAGGAGCCACTAATTCACTAACCGTGGTACCACGTGGCGCTATATAGTCTGAGTTGCTTACAGATGCGATAATGAAACGCAAAGAAGCAAGTGAAATGATGAGCCTGCCCAGGAGCCCTCCTCACACCAGTTCGAGGAGCCACTAATACGGACCGCACAGGTCCTCACGCCCGGTCTTCGCAGTGTGAATAATGGAAAAATCCCTGACATTGCCAGGAAATGAACCGCATATTTTTCTTTAATTTGGCCCATTGCCTAGAGAGTGTGATGCTTGAAAAGTAAAGAATCAGTTGTCAAGGAACTTACCCAATAATAAATCGCCGCATACACCGCTCCGGCAGCAACTGTGTATGCAAGTTTTTCCCACTGCAACACAAACCAGTACAAGGAATATATAAGAATTAATTCTATTTGGAACTCATCTACTGATCAAGTGACTGAGTTTCTGAAAGAGCCTTTTTAAATATATGGCAATTTTTTTATCTTCCAAATCCCTTCGAAGAAATTTGAATGAATCTCTCTCTCTCCCAGAAAACATTTGAATACATCATTTAAACAAAATTATTATTGCTTAGTACTGAGCTACTTAGAGACTAACTAGAGGCTATGCATATATTATTGCTTTGATGAAACTTACGTTCATTTGCCATGTGCCATAAAACGTCTCAACGGCGTAAGTGATGGCTGAAAAAAAAAAGACATGAGAATGCTACACAGATGCATATTCACACTCCAAATATCTCACTTGTTACAGTAATGCTAATTTCCTCATTTCAGAAGAGCAGGGCAAGCCCAGGTAATTTCACAGCAGGACAGCCCATAAAACCCACAGTGTTATTTCAGTGCCTGTTTAGATCAGTGCAATCAAAAGTAACTGCACGTACTGGCTCCTGAATAGACGTAAAATCGGATATTCATTCAGAAAAGCTAGCGGAAATTCTCTGAAATATAGAGCAGGTGTGTGGCAGATGGTGGAATGAGAACTGGTAGGAGAAACTGGAGCACACAGAGAAAACCCTGCCCAGTGCCAATTTTTCCGTCACAGATATTAAGAGGCATTTTCTGGGATGGAACCCAGTGAAAGAAGATGGGTGAGCTACTAACCACCTGTGCTATAACACGGACTACTCTAACCCATGTTTAATATCAAGTTATGTATACTAGCAACTGTGGATCCATTGTGTTGACGCCTAGAATTACAGTATAAACAGTGTGCATTCATCTACTGATGGTCTCACTGATGAAAGGGGGTATCATATCGGTGGGTTATGAATCACACATGACAATACGCGCAACATGTTACACTTTAATGTAACTCGACTATTAAGACGGGATATTCCCCAGTTCAATGGAAAGTCACGCTGATCACATGGTTCCGGAATCTGGTAGACCGTGGCGGAAGCCAGCTCATATAGACCTTTGGGCCTACTTCCAGTAATGAGCAAAGTCTTCGGAAGAGCAGTACTCAAGAGATTGCGCCAGGGAGTAGAAGAAATCCGACTCCTCCCGGACAGAAACACTACCACAGAACAAGTACTCCGAATTGCACAGATAATAAGAGGAACTGTACTGCTCTGCGGTGTTCCCAGTTAGCACACAAGCGCATGATAAACTATGGTACCCAGGCCTCTTGGTCAGGATCAGAGAAACCTTCCCTATGCAGACTACTGAATATTGGAATCACATTTAAGGGGCGCATACACGTACGAGTCTGGCTCGCGAGTCCGACTCGGCTCCAGTTCCAATGAGCCAAACTCGTCCGTATGAGTGTCGCAAAGTTTGGAGTCAGCTCATGCGTTTATGGTGAAATTAATCCGAGCCCGGCTCTCGAGTCAAGCTCGCCGAGCCAGACTCGTACGTGTATGGACCCCTTAACGGACAGACTCTCTCAAGTAAAATTCGAAGACGAAACCACAAACTTAAGGAAAACAGAAGCAGACGTACCGCAAGGAAGTGTCTCAGGACCTGTCCTATACTTTATCTATGCAAGCAACCTCCCGACGTCAGACAACTCAACAACTGCTACCTTCGCGGATGTTACAGCAATCTTAGCCACACATGAAGGTCCAGCGATAGCCTCAGTGAATCTCCAAGCCACCATGAATAAACTTGATTAGTCTAAGAAATGGAGAATTAAAATAAATCGAAGCAAATCTACTCATATTACATTCACCCTACGCAAGCAACCCTGTCCGACAGAGCAAATGGACCATGTTGAACCACCCCAGGAAGAAGTGAAATATCCGGGCATGCATCTCGACAGAAGACTGAGATGGGCAAAGCACATCAAAACCAAAAGAAAACAGCTCAACCAATGAAATCCTCCAGCGCTTTCAGTCCAAGACCCTCCGACCCATCAGAACGCGCCTTGGTACACAAACAACCGCAGGATCCATGAAGATCTCCAAATGAAAACAGCGCTCAGTGAAGTAGAAAAAGTGGAATACCAAATTCTTAAGAACATTAGAAAAGCACACAAATGCACTAGCAGTGAACATGTTAGACAAAAGTGAACTACACATAGACTGAAAAGATACACCGTCCTAACTCTACAAGATAGACCTGAGTAAAACCCCAATACAAGCATTCAAATGCTATCTAATTGGAAACAAAAACGGCACTGGGCATAACTCATTCACGAGCCAGTACTTACTGAACATATATATTTACAGCACTCTGCAGATTATGTATAATAAAGGTGTGAAAAAGATGGGATCTTAGCTCGGGAATACAGGACTTCCCAGCTACTCTATGTACGTTATTATATCATGTACTATACACGTAAACCTGCAAACAATCAGAATATACTGACAATAGACGGACAATGACTTCGACAAATGTGAGATCTGTCCTCTCGTCAGAGAGGCCGACCCATATCAACAAAACCGTAACTGTCTGTCAGTAACTAAGACCTGGTCATGAACCCCAGAGGGGGCCTGACACCAAGACGGACGGACTGACCGATCGTCGGTCGCGATGTGACTTGGCTTTGGTGTCACCTAGCAACGACAAGTGAAGACTATAACAAAGTGCAAAGCATTGTGCGTGCCGTATTTATTTGTAGAGTGTGTAAATTAACGAGACTATTATAATCATTTGTAGTTATGAGTCATAACTGTTCAGTAAATCCAGTAATAAATCCAAAACTAGTGTCTAGTCACTAACACGTGACACTATGTTACTTAGCAGCGAAGAGGCCAAAAACACACTCAGTATATTTTATGACGTCCAGAATCGGCTTTCTTCCTGAAACAATGAATGGAAAAATTAGATTTTTCTTTTATTACTTACCAGGCAACAAATTGAGATTCTTCCGTCATTTTGCCTGTAAGTATGTGGAATCGTGAGAAATTATTTTCCATTTTCAGCTCAGGTGTTACTAAGAAATACAAATTACCTTCACCAAGANAGCCGTATTTATTTGTAGAGTGTGTATATTAGCGAGACTATTATAATCATTTGTAGTTACGAGTCATAACTGTTCAGTACATGCAGTAATCAATCCAAACCCAGTGTCTAGTCACTAGTAACATGTGATAATATGTTACTTACCAACAAAGAGGCCGCATGCACATTCCACGGTCTCTATGAGAAAAGCTGGCATTTCTCCTGAAACAATATATGGATAAATGAGATTTATCTTTTATTACCAGGCAACAAATGGAGATTCTTCCATCATTTTGCCTGTAAGTATGTGCAATCGTGAGAAATTGTTTTCCATTTTCAGCTCACTTACCAGGCCTTTGCAGAAATGGCCGAGAATGACTCCATATATGATTATGCGAGAACCGTATAAAGGAATTCAATTTGATATCTGTCATTTTCGCCCAGAAAACGTGGTCAACACCAGACGAATAAGTAGGTTCATTTGGAGGTGTCACGAACAAATAAAAATTATACATTCACCAAGAGTTTTAAGAGCAGGTTAAATTCGGAGAATATTTCGAGAAGTCGGCACTAATCGGTTTGGTAATGTCGGCAGCACAACTGCAAGCAGGGGACAGCTGTTTCTGTTCTGGAACTTGTATCGAGCACCAGTTTTTCTTGTATTAGAGGCGGAGGAGGTTATTTCCATCATGGATAAGGTGGCTGACGATGTTGCAGTGGGTCGGTGTATAGCCGTACTCAAGGGTATATTCGACAAAGCAGCTGTGCCGCACCTTCCAGAGACTTTAGTGATTCTCTGGAGAACCAATTCGTGAGCCTATGTTTCCCTCCCCTTTGTGGTCGTGAGATCCGCTGAGGGTTACGATACGTTTTCTTGTTGCTGTATCCACCACATCTGGAAAAGGTGTGAAGTGTAGACATTGCTTTGCAGGTGAACATACCATCAGCAATTATCCTACCACAGCCCCATGGTCCACTGGTGATTTCGTACGAAGTCCGCAAGTTTCACCAGAGGTACCAGTTTTAGCAAGTGACTGAGTTGCGCTCTAGGGAGCTGTCCCGTAGACAATACAGAAATTGAAGAAAGCAGTCTTCTGGGATTTGGCACCGTGTATATGTGGTGTTAACCGACGTTTCGGAGAAACAGAAATTGGCTGTAAACAAACTCCTACCTTCTATGCAGCTGAAGTGTCTGGAATTATGTAAACACAAATGGACATACATAATGTGACATGACGCCTGAAGGCCGGAATAGTTCATTGCTGGGCAACCGCTCGGTGTACAGGTTCCCGTAGAAGTGAACACGCACGCAACAATAAGAGAACCCATTTCTAAGAAACGGGCAGGTAAATACACAACAACAGGATTATTTATGGTAAAGGTGTCTTCTGTTCGAGCCTTGCAAACTGGTTATGAAGGAGAGTTCAGTTCAGATTTCAGTGTGGATCGTTAACCAGAAGGCAACAACACGGCCACGGAAGCTGAAGAATCTCCATTGTTAAGATTTGTTACCAGGAAAGGCCTAGTGAAAACACTGTAGAGGAATGGCTATTGTTGAGAACTGTTAATGTTGAGTGAGGCACTATGATATGAGCCGGAAGGTCCCGAGTTCGATTCCCAATTAGGTTATTGGATTTTTCAACTGACCTAATCTTTCAGACCCATTATGGCCGTGGGTTTGCCTCGGCCCCAAACAAATTAATATCAGGAATCTACTTGGGAGGTAAGGGGAGGTCGGCGCCTAAGTCTGACGACCTCATCGCCATCTGTGAGCCCATTGTCGAGAAAATATGGGAGCCTCGACGTCTCATAACCCTATGTATCTCCACGGCTTGTTACAGACATAGTTTTACCTTTTCTTTCACCTTACTAAATGACGACTTTTGAAAGAAGACTGAGAAGACTAGGTGAGGAGAGATTTGTTGTGCAGAAATCAGCAACAGTGTTAGTTATTTTTAGTCACAACCCCTAAGTGGTCAATACATCTATTCAACAAAAGCCCCCTCTATAATCAGCAATAAATGTGACAATGTAATTGTTTTTATAATATGTGAATTGTAATTTTTATAATTTATTCTGAGGGAGCTATGTAACCGATTATAACACATTCGTATACTATTTCCCACTATTAAATATCAGTACAAACATCTATCAGAAGTTGCTTGCAGCAGAGGTATGTTACGTAGCCTGCATTCGTTTGTGAGTTTGAGAAATGGACCGCTAGAGTTCGTATCACATGTTCTTGCGAATTTCTAACCGTAATATATATTCAACCCATGTTAGGTGGGTCCCTTGTCACCACGGAATGCGCGTCCTCAGGCTGCGGATGGAGGTGATGCCCTCCAGTGTTGGAGAGAAGAAGCGAATATATTGAATAACCAGTCGCGGACAGCCGAAAAGGGGTGGTCCTCCAGCTGGAGGGTTGGGCTTGGGTCTAACAACTCCTCACCGTAAAAATAATTATATGTTACGAAAATTAACACAAAGCCTCGGACCTGGACGGAGTCCTTGGATAAACGACCTAAGATAAAGAAAATGGACATGAGAGTCGGAACGTGGAATGTACGAAGTTTGTATAGCGCAGGTTCGCTCAGGGCAGAGGCAGAAGAAATCTTAAAATATAAGTTACATTTAACGGGAGTACAGGAGGTCAGACGGAATGGAGGTGGCATCGCACCAGCAGGAGACTATACATTTTTCTTTGGAAAAGGGAATGAAAATCATGAATTAGATACAGGTTTTTTCGTACATAAGAGAATCGTATCAGCAGTTAAGAGGATAGAGTTCGTTAGTCATAGGATATCATATATAACACTAAAAGGTTGCTGGTTATTGTTATGAAAGTTCGCGCCCCAACAGAAGATAAAATTGATGACATAAAGGACAGGTTCTATGAAGAACTAGAACATGTATTTGATAAATTCCTGAAGTAACCTATGAAAATTTTGCTAGGAGATTTCAATGCGAAAGTAAGGAGGGAAGACATTTTCAAACCAACAGTTGGGAATGAGAGTTTGCATGAAATTAGTAATGATAATAGAGTTAGAGTAGTAAGCTTTGCCACATCAAAATCTTACTGTCAAAAGTACAATGTTCCCACATCGTAACATCCATAAATTTAATTGGACATATCCTGATGGGAAGATACACAATTAAATAGACCATATTTTGATAGATAGGAGACGGCACTCAAGTATACTTGATGTCCGATCATTCAGGGCAGCAGATTGTGATACTGACCACTACCTGGTGGTGGCAGTGGTTAGGGAAAGACTGGCAGTGAGTAAACAAACAACACACAGAGTGCATATGGAGAGGTTCAATCTCAAGAAATAAATGAGGTAGAGGGCAAAGAGCAGTATTGTGTTGAAATCTCAAATTTGTTCGCGGCTTTGCACAATTTGGACACTGAGGTTGAAGTTAATAAAGCTTGGGAAACTATGAGAGAGAATATAAAAATGTCTGCCAAAGAGAGTCTAGATTAGTATGAACTGAAGATGCGTAAGTCATGGATCGATGAAGGATGCTCAAAATTATTAGACGAAGGAAGCAGGCCAAATTGCAGTGGTTACAGGATCCAAGCGAGTTAAATGGGGATAATCTGAATATTAGATGTGAAACCAGCAGGCATTTTAGGAACAAAAAGGGGGAATATCTGAAAGACAAAATTGATGAATTTGCAATGAACAGTAAGAACAAGAATATTATAGACCTGTATAAAGGAATTAATTACTTTCAGAGGGGTTACCAACCTAGCAGTAACTTAGTGAAGGATGAGAATGGTGATCTACTTGCAAATTCCCAAAATATTTTGAATAGGTGGAGGAACTATTTCTCTGTTATTGAATGTACATAGGGTCAATGATGATAGGCAGATAGAAATCCACACAGCTGAGCCGTTAATACCTGATCCTAGCCATTTTGATTTTGAAAGTGCTATTGCAAAATTGAAAAGTATAAATCGCCAGGTAGTGATCAAATTCCGGCAGAATTTATTCAAGGAGGAGGCGAAATATTACGTTCTGCGAACCACAAGCTAATTACTTCTATTTGGCATAAGGAAAAATTGCCTGATCAGTGGAAGGAGTCTATTATTGTACCAGTTCACAGGAAGGGTGATAAAACTGACTGTAGAAATTATCGGGGGATATCACTGCTATCAGCTTCATAGAAAATTTTATCCCATGTTCTTCTTTCAAGGTTCAGTCCATATATAGATGAAATTACTGGGGATCATCAGTGTGGGCTTCCACGTGACAGATCAACTACAGACAGGATATTTTGCATTTGTCAGATATTGGGGGAGAGGAATGTGAGTACAATGAGAGAGTTCATCAGCTATTCATAGACTTCAAGAGAGCCTATGATTCAGTTAGGAAGGAAGTATTGTACAATATTCTGATAGAGTTTGGGATACCCATGACACTACACGTAGTTAGGTTAATTAAAATATGTTTAAACGAAACGTATAGTAAATTCCGTGTAGGTAAACATTTGTCTGATAATTGTCTACCGCACTTCCTAGTGCTATTGACCTCAAGGTTCCTGGATTCTCTGGCCGATTCTCCCCCATAACTTAGCACACTACATCATATTGCCTTTATCGCTCACAACAATCTCGACAGACATGGTAGCATCTCTTCCCTCAAGAGAATCCAACTAGCCACACCAGTTCTTCGTCATGTCATTGACGTCAATAGCCTGTCCCCAACCTACCGGTTCTTCTTGTCTACAGCACTTCCTAGTGCTATTGACCTCAAGGTTCATGGATTCTCTGGCCCTCCCTTAATCAACACAACACCATGTATGGTCTTAATCGCTCCCCACTGCTCCCATTGGTCCGTTCTCCCTAACCACCCCCCCTGCCTACTTCGTATATAAGCAGCACCTTTCACATCCAATCACCACAGCTACTGCTCTCCGCATTCCAAGCCATTCAACTGCTCTGAAGATGGAGGCGCTACGTTCCTCCGAAACGTCGGCCAAAACGAAGAATACACGGTGCCTAAACCCAGAAGACGACTTTCTTCATTTGTCTGATAACACTCCTATCCAGAATGGTCTAAAACAAGGAGATGCTTTATCGCCACTCCTTTTCAACTCTGCCTTAGAATATGCAATTAGGAACGTCCAGGGAAACCAGGTGGGACTGAAATTAAACGGGACACATCAGCTGTTGGTTTATGCCGATGATGTGAATCTACTGGGTGATAATGTAGATACCACAAAGAAAAACACACAAACTTTATTTGACGCAAGTAAAGAGGTTGGTATAGAACTAAACACAGAGAAACTAAGTATATGTTACTGTCTCGTCACCAAAATGCAGGGTAAAATTATGATATGAAGATAGGAAACAGATGTTTTGAAAATGTGGCACAGTTCAGATATTTCGGAAGGACGACAACAAATCAAAACCTGATTCAGAAGAAAATTAAGAGGAGATTGAACTTGGGTAATGCTTGCTACCATTCAGTCTAGAACCTTTTGTCTTCTCGTCTGCTGTCCAAAAACATAAGAACTAGAATATACAAAACTATAATTTTGCCCGTGGTTCTGTATGGGCGTGAAAATTTGTCTCTGACAATAGGGGAGGAATATAGACTGAGGATGTTTGAGAACAGGGTGTTCAGAATATCGCTCTGACCTGCCCTCTCATTGACCAGTTGCCTCTGCGCCCTTCATCACTCTGATTATTGTTGTTAACGTCAGGATCCACGAGCTCCGATCGGAGGTTGATCAGCTACGAAACAACGCCAATACACAACCAACCTGTCCCCGAAATCGACTGGTCGAAGATTACCCAATCCAGACAATAAGAGGTTGTCCACAGTTCGAAGTTTATATTTGCCAGAATCGCCAAGAGTTAAAATTCAGACACTGTAGCGCCGAGTTTGCATAGTAATGCTCCCCGTTCAATATAAACTGGTGTGAGAAGCACATAAGGTCGAACTTACACACGACGATATAAACAGTTGATGTGAGCAGGACCGACAAACTGAAATGCTTCGTCGATACGGGTGCAGATATTTC